CCTATCTATGTCATTATCACATAATCCATCAATCATTCTAAATAAACACTCACAGAGAATAACTATTGTGATACAAGGACTTAGTATCAATAAGTGACTGAAGCCAGTGGGAGTGAGAGTTCCTAATGTGTTACACTTGTTACTAAGTTTGAAAAGAAGCAATGAAGCTATAATAGGGGCAAGGGGAGTCAAGACAAGTCTCTGTAGGAGTTAATAGAAAGCAATCCTTCCAGAAAAATACTTCAAAATCAAACGTGGAAGATGGATAAGTCAATTACTTCTTCATAATTGCCAAAGAAACTGTATGTTTATGATTGTAACATTTAGGGGAGTTTGGGTGTCAGATGGAAAGATCTCCAATTGGGAAGGCATTTCTTTGGTTACTGGAGTAGAGTGAATGACATAGCCAGATAAAAGCAGAAAGGAAATTTAGTCACCAATGGGATGAATTGTATTGAAACATGAATTATTTCATTTATGAGGACACAAACAACTGGAATGTAGAATATGAAAGGCATTAAACAAAAAAATCTTGAAAATATCAAAATGGAAATGAAGTAGATGTTTTAGGAACATATTATCAAGTGAACCGGAATGGGCCATTTTAAATATTACATGATAATGACAAGTGGCAGTGATATTTTGCTATAATCCAATCAATGACAAGATTAGTAGATACCTGATGAATATTGACAAGTCTGTGTAATTACTACAGACACAATGATGAAAGACCCTGATGAACTCTATAGTAAAGAACAGGAAGTGAACATTACAAAATCTGGAAAAAATGTACAACTAAAAGTTAGAGGGACATGGAATTACAAATAGGTTGGATTAGAAAAATAAAATAATGCTGGACATAACTTTATTAAGTGTTTTGTGGTTGTTCATCTGCTTCAGGTAACATAAATGAACATTCTAAACTTGGTCATCATTGGATGAACAATACAGGAATCAAATTAAGTACATAACAGAAAACCAAAGATGTGCAATTCAATAAGTGAAGACATTTCTAGGTACAATTTGTGGATCTGAACATAATTTACTACTGTTATATATACAGTTTAATTAGAAAATTAAAGAGTGGGTATTATCAGAATACCTACATGAATAGTGTGGAAGAAATTTGGTTAGAATATAAAATTAGCAAATGAAAAGATTTGATAAAGTTAATTTATACAAAAGAGAAATTGAGAAATTATGGGAAGACAAGCAACACAAGACAACACTGTCTACAGTAATCAGAATAGACAGCATAAAGTAGGTTTAAACAAACCAACCACAGGAAAAAGCTGGATTTCCAAAAATCCAAATAGTTTTCAGGACACATCTGGATTATGATTACAAATCACTCCCTGTGATTTATAAATTATTCCCTGATCTCTTTCCAGCCAACTGATGAACCCCTTCCCAACCTCCCCCACAGCCTTTTGTGGTTTAGAAGAAGGAATAGAATAAATTTGCAGAAACATATAACAGTTTGAAAAAACTGAGCAGAGGTCAAGATGATGAGCGTTTATCTGTATAGTCACTTGACAGTGGGCCAAACTAATGAGCGTGATTTAGTAAACACTTGAAATTGGAATATAACAACTAACAGCAACATTTTCCAATTATAGTATAAATAAATGGTATAGTTAGTATAAAAAGCAGAATAATTTAAGGAAATGGACTTGCACTTTATAGCCACTTGCTTTATAGGACCAAAAAATTAGAACCAGGAGATTGATATTAATATGATATTATGGAAATATTATTGTATTTCATTCATTCATTCATTCAATTAATAAGCTCATTCGATCCCCTTGTGACTTTGGAGATGTACATTATTAAAACAATTTAAAAATATAGACAAAAGAATGACAAGTATCCAAAACAGAACAACAACAATAAAACAAAAAGACCCACACAAATCTCTAAAAACTGCCACAAGGGGCTTGCTATCCACTCTAGCCCAAGTCATGGGGATGAAAGCCAAGTTTTAAGGGCTCTTTTAAAGAAAGCCACAGTGGGAGGCCAAATGAATCTCTAGGGGAATATTATTCCAGATGACAGCCCAGTTGTCAAAAAATCATACATACGTACATGCATACATACATACATACATACACACACACACATACACACAGAGATACAAACACTGAAATAGAAAAGACAAGCTTTCTGTGTCCTGCCTGATAACAATGTTTAATGAATGGGACCTGAAGCAGGCCATCTCTGCCTGCTTGTACAAAAACAGGGAGAACTATGAGACAGCCATTCCTTCAGCTACCAGGCACCAAAAAGATGTTATAAATAACAACCAGCACCTGGAAGCCTGCAAAGCTCAGAAAGCATAGATGTTACATGAACATGCATGTAACTGCCCATGTTGTTGTATTCTGGACAGCTGCAGCTTTTGAATGGTTTTCAAAAGCAGCCCCATATAGAGCTCATTGCAATAATCTACACTGAAGCTGATCAAAGCATGACTGGCCAAAGGACTTGCCGGTCTAGATAAAGGCCCATAAACATATATTTATGCAAAATCCTGGTTACAGTAACCACTTATTCCTTGAACAGGAGCTCTGAGTCCAAGAACACTGCCAAGTTGCACACTAGTTCTGAAGGAGAAAGCATAGATTTGTTCAGGAATATCACTGGTCCTGGGAGATACAAATAACCACAGGGCTTCTCAGGGCTCTTCTTCAGTCTGTTCTTCCCATCTATACTTCCCCAGGTAGCCTGGGTCTGAGGGTAAAATTTGGTATTATCAATGTACTCATTGACTATAGAGAACAGAGCAGAGTTTCTGCAAACCATTGCTATCTCCCAGACCACAACACTGCCAATTCACCTCCCCAGCACAAAAAACAGATGTTGTGGCCCACCAGCTGCCAGCTCTGACTCGGACAGTGAAGAGGTTGGGGAGGAACTTGGGCCAGTCCTGGAGCCTGGAGAAGGCTCTGATGGATGCTCTGCGTTGGAAGCAGAGATAGGGCCAGGGGCATCCAATATCTCCCAGCTGCCTTCGGAGATAAGTGGGGAAGAATAGCTGGAGCCTGTTCCCGATGTGCATATGTGCAGAGCTGTCAGAGAAGAGAACAACTAAGGAACAGGGGCCAACTCAGAAGGCACACGTGGATGCTGAATAGCTCCTCCCATGAGGAATAAATAGAAACAAAAGGGGAGTGGTGGTTGCAGGAGACAATTATTTCGCTTATTATTATGAAGATTTGCTTATCATGGTTTGTGCCTTGAAGACTCATTGCCAGGAATTAATTTACAGCTTTGCGACTGAAAGCTCTCATCCTGGCAATTATCCAAGGACTGATAAGGTCTGTTCTTGCACTTAACTCTTGGAAGAATTATTGCTGGGACTTTTCTGTGTGTGAATGCCTGAATTCACAGTAACTAAATAAAGAGGGGTTTTTCAGGATAAGGAGTCTGTTTCTTGGTTCTGAGTCAGAACAGTATCTATAAGTGGGGTGTGTGTGTGTCCAGGTTTTGTTATGCACTCCAGGTCAACTATCTTATCCCCAATTAGATTATAAATGAGAGTGTTCTTATTGCATATTAACCTGGTTTTCAAACATAGCATTCAGAGTCCAATAACCTGACTTCAATGTTGAGTGCACTGAAGTGCTGCAAGTTTGGACAAGACTCAAATACCAGTTCCATAATTCTTATGTGCAGCCCATCTTCAGCTTTCCACCATATCTTACTCTGCTGTTATGACCTTGGTGAAACTGCCCTTCTTCCCCCTTGAGTCCATGGCACCATCACCTTTTTCACTTCCTTTTTAAGCCCTGGTATCTCTGCTGCATTCATATGAATGGAAAGAAAAAAACCCTCTAGTTACATGAGTGCTAAATCACTCACATGGGAGGTCATACATCCAACTCTGAGGAGGGGATCAAGAATCAGCAGAGCTAAATGAAACTACTAGAACAGCCACTTCGAGACCTTGTTGTTGCTAGCTATAAGAACTCACCCCACCAGCCTACATTTTGGCTCCCATTTGTAATTTGTTTTCAGCTGCTGTTCTCTTGAAGCTGACCAGTACTGTTACCAAGATCACTTTCAGGTGACAAAAATATAAGATTTTTAAATTTATTTGGTGTCTGATTGCTCTTCCTTATAACACCATTTAAATAAATTTTAAAAAAATCAATCAATCACGCCATATATACTCAAACTAACACCAGACTTCCATAAATATAGTGATTATCCCACATCCTATTTTGGGTTATTTTACATCATGGCTGATTTGTATTGTTAAATATTTAAGGATAGATTATGACAGTCCTTAAATACTTTTCCATCACCCTATATATCAGGGGTGTCAGGTGTCAAACTCACGTCATCATGGTGGCATCATGTGATGTATCAGGACTTTTTACCCCTTTGCTAAACTGGATGTGCGCGTGGCTAAAATGTGATGCATCCGTGCAATTGACAGCCCTGCCCTATATTAATTAACTGGGATTTCTAAAAATAGTAAAACATAAACATACCCTTTTGTGTACAAAAATTGTAAAAAATGATTTGAAAATACAGTAGATAGCTTCAATAAAGAAGCAGGACTATAACTACCTGTATAGCTTCAGAAAGCAATGAAGAACATTCAGTTCTATAATTATGGGTAGATTAAAAGTATATATTTGGATTACCTTAGAATCTCTAGAGCATATTCTACTGAGAATTAATTATTGCCTACAGAATTATATATTCAAAGTCAACAAATAATCATACTGACTATCACTAAGTTGAGGGGGGGAATATTTGTGTGAGGTTGTCATATATGCTGTTCTCTGTTCAGTTTTGTGAACTGAACTTTCTATTGCAACTGGATGCAATACCAAAATTTAGCTATATAAAATGTCTTTAAAATCAATTAGGCAGAACTTTCTTTATTATCTTAGTATATGCCATCATACTAAAGGCTCATTTTAAATAAGGTTTTTTTTAGAAACAAGTAATATGCATAATTTATATAATTAGATTTAAAAGGTACTTACCAACTTTTTTAGCATTATATTTCTTTGCTTTCATTTTATGTGCTCTTTTTAGCATCAGCTGTGCCGTAGAAATGTCTTTAAAACCCCTAGAGAAGAAACAGTTATTCTCCACATGCAAACATAGGTGTTTGTTTAATAATCATGCAGGCTAGTAACTTCTGAATGCTAACAGCAACCCTATTGCAACACTGAACTTGACTGGGAAGTCTTTGATCTTCAGGAGTGTCTTTTCAAAGAACCGTAAGGCCAGAAGACACGCACAGAAAATGTTAAATATACAGAAAAAGGTTCATGTGGCTCTTTGAGTTCCATATATTTCTCCCATCTAATTCTGAAACAAAATGCATGATTTTGCTGCACGTATTGCAGTGCAACCTATAGAACATAATTTTGATTTTATGGGTATTCAGAACATATTTTATAATCATAGAGATCAGAACTATACACATATGTCCTAACAATATGGTTACCATTAGGAATTCTGACGAAAGAATACCTAATGCTCTGGCTATCATTTATGAAGAAGTACACAATAGCTCTGAGCAGAGTGGCAGAGTTATTTTATATCATAATGTCAACATGTGCAAAACTGTCATCTAAACTCACTGTATACTTTCAAATCACCATTTATGGTTAAAAACTAGTCATGACCTAGGTTGAGCATGTTACAGGCACTGTCAGCCAAGGAATGTTGGCTAGTGGGAAGCAGGAAACAAATCTTCTCCACTGTAGCTCCCCTCCTCTGGCATATTCTCTCTTCTGGAATGGGACAACTCACCACATTAATGGTTAAATTAATTTACCTATTATATTTGTTGAATTGTCCCATGGCAAGTTGTCCTGTAGCAAGTTTGGCTGTGGTGAGTTGGCTGTGGGGAGTTGTCCCAAAATTAATTTGATGGAACCATGGCCAATATTAAAATAAATATAGTCAATCCAGAAATATAAGAATTACAATAATTTTGATAAAACATGGTCACCAGTAACAAAAATACTGAATTAAATGATTAATACAATGTTGAATTGTCCTGCGGTGAGTTAGCCATGGTGAGTTGGTTGCGGCAAGTTTCCTGCAGTGACTTGTGTTAGGACTTAGACCCTCTCCCTTCAGGTATCAGGATGGCCCTGAGCCTGTTGGCCTATTGCATGGTGTGTCACTAGCCCCAATGTCTTAAGGGTCCCATTTCCTGGCTATATTAACATTCATAGTAACAGTTTTGCTTGATGCCATGTATATTTATTTGTACTATTTTAATTATTTTAATTGTTTTTTAATTATTTTTATGTATTATGATGTATGCCACCCAGAATAATTTGTTGAGATGAGCAGCTATAAAAATCAAATGAATAAATAAAATAAATTGAAAAGAAAATAATGACCCAAACATACCATTCTTCTGAAATTTTTTCCTCCTTTTCAGATTGTAATGATAACTTTTGGGAGGACTTTGCCTCAGAAAGTTGTGAGGCACTGCTTCTTCCTGACCTGAGGAGAGCAAGAGCAAGACACTAAAAAGCTAGTCCAACAAGATTTAAATCTCTGCAGCTTTTGCTGTGCTATAAATTTTCATTATCTTCTGAAGTTAAGAAATAAAATCTAAGCTCCAGGAAAGCTTATAGAAGCTTATAGAAGAATAATAGAAGTTAGAGGTTTATATCAAATATTTATATTTGTACTCCAAACATATCTCAAGATTTTTTTACAATGAAATATAAGGTATAGTAAAGCTTTCTTTATGTTAGACATTTTTCT